GCAGGTTTCAGAAATATCAGGCACTCTTGAGAGGACAGGACAGGAACTCTAGTAAAACAAGGTTAGTTCACCAACATTTTACTATTTTACTAGGCTCTAGGAAAACAAGTTTTCACTAGCCAGACTTCTCAAGCAGCGTTCTGGTGAGAAGCGTTGGAGGAAGTATGATAGTGTCTGATCCTTTCTCTCAACTAACAGGGAGACCAGTCTAACAGGTTAACAGGCTTACCTCTGGAGAAATCAGGTGTCTCAGGCTGAATCAGCCAAATTCTGCATCTCCAGGTGGACACCTAGTTGGGAGAATGGAGTTCCAGGGCCCTGGAATGTTTTCGGGGGGGGGGGGGCGTCCTCCCCTAGAGGTCTTTTTCTCTCATGGGTGGTCACCCAACAGAGGCACTGGGACACAATGGCTATCCTGGATGAGCCCCCAAATGTTATGAGTTCAGTTAAAAATAATAGCTACTATAATGTTCACTTTTGGGTAAAAGAGTTTTATTTAGGCTCGCCGACTCCAGGGAGCTGAAATATGCTCCTATGCTGCAGCAACAAATCTGATTTTAGGCAGGCTTTATAAAGACAAAATGCAAGCAGGCAAGCAAATGATAATACAGAAGCAGATGCTGCAGTTTCAAGGACTCAGAGTACGTGCTTTAGCACAGGCATTCATCTGGGGGTGTTTTAGTCGCTTAATATACAAAAAGGAGGGTTACCCCTTAACCCACGGGGAGTGGGGGCAGGATGAGATGGTCACTTCAGTTACATAAAATGGAGTTTTAGCAAGATATTGCCAGTTATAGCTGGACATTACAAAAATAGAGCTACAAAGTGGAGTCACTCACTTCAATTCAAATCTATTTACAGTCCCTGAAGCATAATGTTGTCAGTGATAGGATAATATCCATACGCCTACCAGGAATAACAGTTAATACTACTACTTTTCAAATTTATTCACCAACCACTGAAACCAAAGAGGAGGAAATGGAAGATTTTTTTTTTTTACCACCTTCTGCAGTCTAAAATTGACCAAACATGAAATCAAGATGTGTTGATTATTACCAGTGACTGGAATACAAAAGTGGAAGACAAAGAAGAATCACTGGTAGTTGGAAAACATGGGCTTATATATAGAAATGACACTGGAGATTGCATGATAGAATTTTGCAAGACCAATGACTTATTCTTTGCAAGTATCTACATGTAGATTTCACCTATGGGATACACAAGAATCAGATAGACTATATCTGTTGGAGAAGCTCAATATCTTCAGCCAAAACAAGGCCCAGAGCTGACTATGGAACAGTCCCACTGATTGCTCATATGCAATTTCAAGTTGAAGCTGAAGACAATTAAAACAAGTCCATTAGATTAATGACTAGGATTACTGGTTGGATGGAGTCTGGTGGGACCCCCAGTACTATGGTTCTGGCATACACTTGGGGTCTGGAATAAAACTCAACCCAGAGTGATACATTCACATACTCTATGGAGATGGATCCCTTGGAGCAATTAGCCCCAGGGCACCAGAGGGGCAACATTCCCACAGAAAATCCAGGACACACAAGAGTATGTAACTATGAAGGGCAAGGAGTAGGGGGCAGCTACTGGGAAGGGAGGGGAGGAGAGTGGATTAGGGTTGGGGATGGTAATTGGGGCATGAAACCAAATGTACATGAAATGTTGCATGTAAAAAAAACTGCTCTGTAAATTTGCACCTAAAGCACAATTAAAAAAAAAAAAAAAAAAAGCAAGTCCATGAGAGCCAAAATATGACTTTGGATTATATCCTACCTGAATTTAGAGACCATCTGAAGAAAAAATTTGACATACTGAACACCAATGACCAAAAACCAGATTTGTGGGCTGACATCAAGAACATCATCCATGAAGAAAGCAAGAGGTCATTAAAAAGACAGGAAAGAAGAAAAGACCAAAATGGATGTCAGGAGACTCTGAAATTTGCTCTTGACAGAGTAGTTAAAGACAATGGAAGAAATGATAAGATAAAAGAGCTGAACAGAAGATTTCAAAAAGCAGCTTGAGAAGACAAATTCAATTATTATGATGAAATGTGCAACGATCTGGAGTTAGAAAACCAAAAGGGAGGAACACACACAACATTTCTCAAACTGAAAGAACTGAATTAAAAAATCAACCCTTGAGTGGAAATATGGGGCAATCTACTTTCGTAGTGATACTATCTCAGAAACCCAAGGAGGGTCGCTATGAGTTGGGTCTGACTCAATGGCACATAACAACAACAACAACATAGGCAAAATATTGAATGATGCAAGAAACATTAAAAGAAGATGGAAGGAATACACAGAGTCACTGTACAAACAAGGAATTGGTGGATATTCATCCATTTCAGGAGGTGGCATAAGATCAAGAACTGATGGTATTAAAGGAAGAAGTTGAAGGTGCACTGAAGAAATTGGCAAAAACAAGGCTTCAGGAATTGACGGAATGCCCATTGAGATGTTTCAACAAATGGATACCCCACTGGAGGCACTTACTTTTCTAGCCAAGAAATTTGGAAGACAGCTGACTGGAAGAGATCCATATTTGTACCCATCCCAAAGAAAGGTGATCCCACAAAATGTGGAAATTACCAATTAATATCATTAACATCACAAGCAAGTAAAATCTTGCTGAAGATAATTCAAAAAACTGTTGCAGTAGTATATTAACAGGGAGATGCCAGAAATGTAAGGTGGTTTCAGAAGAGGACATGGAATGAGGAATATCATGGCTCATGTCAGGAGGATATTGGCTGAAAGCAGAGAATACCAGAATGTTTACTTGTGCTTTATTGACTATGCAAAAACATTTGACTATGTGGAACATAATGAATTATGGATAGCATTGAGAAGAATGGGAATTCCAGAACATGTAATTGTGTCCAGGGCTGTTGTCCAAAGAGCACAAAGGGATACTGCATGGTTTAAAATCAGGAAGGGTGGTACATCAGGGTTGTATCCTTTCAGCATACTTATTCAATCTTTATGCTGAGCAAATTATCAGAGAAGCTGGACTATATGAAGAAAAGCATGGCATCAGGATTGGAGGAAGACCATTAACAACCTGAGATACGCAGATGACATAACTTTGATTACGGAAAGTGAAGATGACTGGAAGCACTTCCTGATGAAGATTAAAGACATCAGTCTGCAGTATGGATTATATCTCAACATAATGAAAATGAAAATTCTCACAACTGGACCAATAAGCAGCATCACAATAAATGGAGAAAAGATTGAACTTGTCAAAGATTTTATACTACTTGTTTCCACAATCAACACCAATGGAAGCAGCAGTCAAGAAATCAGATGATGTATTGCACTGGGCAAATCTGCTGCAAAAGAACTCATTAAAGCACTGAAGAACAAAGATGTCTCCTTGAAGGCTGAGGTGCATGTGATCCAATCCATGGTATTTTCAATTGTTTCAAATGCATGTGAAAACTGGACAATGAATACAGAAGACTGAACAATGGTTGATGCTTTTGAGTTATGGTGTAGGTGAAGAATACTGACAGTATCATGGACTGCCAGAAGAACTAACAGATCTGTCCTGGAAGTAGTGCAGCCAGAATGCTCCATATAATGGCCAGACTTTGTCTCACCTACTTTGGTCATGTTGTCAGAAGGGACCAGTCCCTGGAGAAAGATATGCTTGGCAAGGTGGAGAGTCGGTGAAAAAAGGGAAGGCCCTCAATGAAACGGATTGACACAGTGGCTATAATGATGGACTCCAGTATAACAAGGATTGTGAGGCTGGTGCAGGACATGGCAGTGTTTCATTCAGTTGGACATAGGGTTGCTATAAGTCAGAGCCAACTCAATGGCACCTAACAACAACAACAACAACAACAACATTGGTCATCTATTGGTCTCTCCTCATCTAAAGCAAAGAAGAGTGAAGAAAATAAAAAAGATATGGAAACAATTAGTCCAAGAGATTAGTGGCCCATAGGTACCTCAGCCTCCATGAGCCTGAGACTAGAAGAACTAAAGAGTGCCTGGCTACCACTGCCAATCACTCTGAAAGGGATCCAAATTTGAAATCCTGGATAGAGTGGGAGAAAAATATGGAAGAAAAGTCACAATCATAAATGAAGCCAGCCTTACTGTTCTGATAGAGACTTGTGAATCCCTGGGACAATGACTTTTAGTAACCCTTCAAGTCTGGAACTGAATTCATCCCCATGGTTCAACTTTCAGCCAAACAAGAGGCAAGCCTACTAGGGGAACAATTACACCAGGGAGGTACAGGCTTCTTATACCAATCAACCGTAGGAGATCAAAAGGGCAGCATTTATGTGATGATAAAACTTAGGAAAGAAGGAAATGGTAAAGGTAACCACAGAGAGGAAGTGGGCAGATATTTCTTATATTTGTAGGGATTGCAATTAATATCACAAAACAAAATGTGTATGAACTGTTGAAAGGAAAATGAATTTACTCTGTAAACTTTAACTGAAATCACATTTTTTTTTTAAGGGTTTGATAAGGTAGAAGTCAAGATTTCAGAAAGGATTAAGGAAGGAATCATTGCAAAACCAGAAATGTGACATTAACACCATTAGAAAAGAGGGCTGAGATAGGAGACTGGACACACTGAAAACAGTGGGAAGGGTAACAACAGTGGAATGTCATGGAAGAAAGGGCAATGGGGGGAAGGCAGAAGTGGGGAGAATAAACTCACTGTAGATTAAAATCAATAAACGTATTTGTTTAGTAGTACCTTCTCATTTTACAGATGTGAAAATAAAGGCTCAGAAGTGTTTCAGTTTCATTTAGTGGTTTTTTAGAAAAAACAAACACACATAACTCTAGGGGAAATGAAATGTTGAGTGGGAGGTTAAGGGCTGTGGGTGGAGCAGCTTTTCTCTGGTATACGATGGGACTAAGGGAGAGATTGGCAGTTGGTAGAGATATTTTGCTGAAATCAGAGACCAAGCACCAAGCCTGAGAGTCAACAATTCTATCTCTCAGAAAAAAATGCTTCTTCTTCTGCTTCTATTGCTGGCAGTTTTCTTCCAAGGTGGTGACAATGAGGATGGTAAGTATAATTCTGGAAGCTTCTAGCAAAAGTGTTAGGGATTCTGGGTAAGAGTATGCTGCATTGACCCAGGTGCATTTGGCATTTGGACACTGAAGGTCTGGGCAGTCCTTTCTCCAGCCTTTTCAATGATTTTGGAGGTTGGGGCTGGAACTTGACAACCTGGGACAAGTAAATGCCTAGGCCCCTTGTGCTCTTCAGACTCTGGATTGTTTTCAATTTCTATTCTCTTTTATCCCCTCCTTTTTCTCCCTTTCTCCTCACTATTCTTATCCTTCTACTTCATTCAGCCTTCCAGGGGCCGACCACCTTCTCCGTCATCCAGATTTCATCCTTTGCCAACAGCACCTGGGCACAAAATCAAGGCTCAGGCTGGCTGGATGATTTGCAGATTCATGGTTGGGATAGTGACTCAGGCACTGCTATTTTCCTGAAGCCGTGGTCCAAAGGCAACTTCAGTGATGAAGAGATTACTATACTGGAGGACATATTTCGAGTCTACTTCATTGAATTGACTCGGGAAGTACAGAACTTTGCCAGTCAATTCCAGTTGCAGTGTGAGTCTTGGTGGGATTCTCAATGACTTTATTTGTCTCTTTGTTTGGGCTGCTACTTCCTCTTATCCTTCTCTTCTCCCCACTATCTGCATGCACACTTCTCTAGTGTAATCTCCTGCCCTGCCTTTATAACTCCACATAATATTTTAGATTTTTGATTCATGATGATCTCTTCTAAGATAGATGAAGACTCATCCTTTCTAACCACTTTGCTTTGTCTAGTGTGAAACTCATTTCTCTTTTCAATTTCCAAACCTTCATTTTCCTTCCCCTGTACTTGACCGTCTTGGTGTGACCTCTTCCTCCAATACATCTCTTCTACTGTCTCCTCTCTTTAATCTTCTTTCAATATAATCTTCTCATTCATCTTGACTTTCTCACAGCAATCCTTTGCACTCTGCATCTATTGTTACCTACCGTATACATCCATATGTCAAGTTCCATCTCCCATTGATGACATGCATACCATGTCCCAATTCACTTCTCTCTGAAACTCTCTAAATACTTTTTGGCATTTTGGATTAATTGATTTTTAGCTCACCATTTCATGTCTCAGATATTTTTTTTTCCCACCAAAAATTCTAAGTCTATTCCATATCCTTTCCTGTTTCCTCAGCTGTTTAATAATTTTCTGTTTTCCTTCTACCCAGATCCATTTGTGATTCAGGGCAGAGCAGGCTGTGAGCTGCATTCTGGGGAGGCTCCAGTAAGTTTCTTGAGGGGAGCTCTAGGAGGACTGGATTTCCTGAGCATCCAGAATCATTCATGTATACCTGCCCCAGAGGGTGGCTGGAGGGCAAAGACGTTTTGTACACTAATCAGTCAGTACCAAGGGATCCGTGATATTGTGGAGAAACTCCTCTACGGAGACTGCCCAAGATTTCTCTTGAGTGTTCTTGATGCAGGGAAAACCGATCTACAGAGACAAGGTTTGTCCTACTCTCTTCCTAAGATGTGTCTGTGTCACTACTGACTCTCTCCTTTAAAGGCAGGACAGGAGTAGGAAGTTACCCTAGAGGGAGAGGGGCTTAATGGAGAAAATATCTGGTTCCCCAAGGAATGAAAGAGGTCATTGTCTAAACCTGTGGGAGTCTAGGTCTCTATTTTCTGGATGAGAGTCCTAATCTGAACACTCTCCCTGCTCCAGAGAAGCCTGAAGCCTGGCTGTCCATTGGTCCTGCTCCTGGTCCTGGCCATCTGCTGCTGGTTTGCCATGTATCAGGATTCTACCCAAAGCCTGTGTGGGTGACATGGATGCGGGGGGAGCAAGAGCATCCGGGCACTCTTCGAGGTGATGTCCTGCCCAATGCTGATGGGACCTGGTATCTCCAAGTAACCCTGGATGTGATGGCTGAGGAGGCAACTGGCCTGTCTTGCCGAGTAAAGCATAGCAGTCTAGGTGGCCAGGACATCATCCTCTATTGGGGTGAGAAAGTCAGAAGAAACTGGGGTTCACCAGAGATGGAAGGAGATGTTCCACATAGAATGAGGAGCTGGGGAAAGGGTGGGGCTTGATAGACCAGAGAGACAAGGACAAAAGAATGAGAGAGAGACAAAGACACCAAGATATGCACACACACACACACACACACACACAGATTGAGAAATTGATTGATTTCTGGAATTGCTGTTGAGTCAATTCCAATGAATAGCAATCTTGTAAGACAGAGTAGAACTACCCCATAGGGTTTCCAAGGCTGTAA